ATTCCAAAGCAGTAGTTTGAAGAAAAATTACGGCCCTGTTTGAATGTAGTTTCTACAAATAATTTTTTGATTTTTAAAACAAAAAAAAACCATTTGATAAAATTTATTTTGTAAAAAAAAAAATTAAAAATTAAAAATTGTAATTTTTTTTTTGTTTTTAGAATAAAATTTAAAGGACATGTCTGATTTATTTTTATTTTGTGTTTTGATTTTTAATTTAAAAAAAATGAATATAAAACATTTATTTTCGTAACTATTTTACAAAATAGTTTTAAAAATAAAAAAATCTAAACACAATCAAACAGATTCTAAATCACAAAGCAGTTCGATCTCATCCATAACATGAAGTCGATGACCACGCTCAATTCCTCATAGATTGTTGTGGATGGATTTGGAATTTTTTTAAAATAATTTATGATATAATTTTTTTATTTTTTTAACTTTTGAGAAAACACAAAAAATTGTCTGTTTCTTTCTTTTTTCTGAAAAACTTATCTAATTATTAAAAAATTTAAACATATTTTAAATTAAAAAGTGTTTTTTCTTAAAAAATAATAATGCAGGACTAAGAATAAAATTCGCCATCAAACCATTTAGCACGACTCTCCATAAATTTCATACGTTGAAATTGAGCTTTTATGATGAAGAGGTGGGAGAAGCAGTGGCTCAGATTTGAGAAGTGAAAGAAACATGTATCTTCTCTCAAACCAAACTAAGAAGGTTTGAGGTCAAAGTTATATTTAAATATAACCCAATTGAAATCTCATCAAACATACATGTTGGTTTGAGGATGAATTTCTATTTACACCATCTAAATTGTAGTTTCTCCAGCCAAACACATACTCATACTACAACAGATGCATACAAGCTGGTATATAGATGCTATTGGAACGAGGGTCCATCATTAAACCAAAAGTTATAGTTAATAGTTAAAGATATAACTTTTAAACTTAAGTTCATTAACAAAAATTACGAATAATTCACTTCGATTCTAACCCCGCCTAAACCCTTCTTAAAACAGGATGCTTACCCACAATTAACAGATACAAATTAAATGAATGACTTTATATATCGATAATTATGTATATCAATATATTTTCAAGTAGTACCAATCTAATAACGCATTTTGGGTTGTGAATCACATTATTGCATTTTTTTTTATTCAATACGAAATAGTAAACTACTTTCCTTGCCTTCATCTCTTCGCTTCAAACATTCTTTCACATATGTTTTATTTTTATTTTTACATTTTTCTTCCTTTGATGAAATTAAATTCATCTTATCTCACTTGTTAATCACTAGGGAGTCCAAAATAAGCTAATGTTGAACTACGGTTATTATTATTATTATTTATCGATTTATTGATTACTTGATTAATTTGATTTCGGATAGAATGATAATGTTGGAAATCGACAACACACAAATCGAAAAAGAAATAGAGAGAATAGACACAGCGATTTACCCTGGTTCACTCAATTTAGGCTACGTCCAGCTTGTTTGTACTATATTCATCTCACCGCCACTTGTTACAAGTCACTCAATTTACAAGAAAAATATAAATAGGATTAGAAAACCCTAACAACAGCTATTCAGGGACCCAAGTCCAAACTGCTAAGAAAATTACAATAAAACAGAGGCTCGCAATAGTACCTAGCCTCTACGGGCCTGGGGGCGCTGCCCTCCGGGGCGGCTCCCCCGGACCCCGCCCGTTCACCTGGAAGCGGGACTCAAGTTACTTTTCTGCTGACTCCAATAATTAGGGCACTCATCAGCGTGCGAAGTATGAGCCATACCCGACAGATAAAACTCTATCTAGTTTTTAATATAATTGTGCACTCAGAATTCAAACTCAAAATCACTTATTAGATTAGAAGAATCCTGTCAATTGATCTCGTATTTGGTGATAATACTGAATCTTTATTGAAGCTTAACAAATCAGATTAAATATATCAAGTTATCAACCGCAACCATCCAGACAGATTCTGTGGAAGAAAAAAGAAGTCTGAAGGTGGGAATGCCATGTTCTTTTCTAAACTGAAATGCTAATACAAACAACGTTACCGTATGTCTTGTGCCTTGGGATGTTCCCAACACTTAGTGACTTACTTTTACCTTTTTTTTTATCATGTGTTTCCTTTGACTGATATAAATTTGACCAGTCAACCGACATGTCTGACCCCACCTACAATCCATGACCCACTGCCTATTTTGCATCCTCCAATCTTTGATTAAATTAATTATCTTCAACATTAATGTCATCCATGCATTTTCAAACAGAGGTTTATTTCAATCAGCCTATAACAACACTGGGAGAGCTAGGAAGGATAAATTTTCACAGGATCCAAAGGATATCCAATAGTGCGATCAATCATTGTTTGCTAATTAATTTCACAAATTAATACTCCAAAAGATAATAAAAGCATGAAATCATAGTTACTAATATAGTTTTCCCGCCATCCACTCCTAGATTTCTGCCTCGAAAATATCAAAGGAGTCATAACTGATAACACCCAATTTAGGAACAAATTAAAAGGTGGTAGTTACTTATCTTATATGGTTCTACTTTTTCTCTTTTCTGAATGTTAAACTGATCAAAACCCCAAAGCCCCTATGATGTCAAATTTAGTTGAATTGCTGACCATCTATCACGTACAATATTTTATTATTAATCCAATTTCAGGGATTTGGACATAATAATTAATAACAATGACTTGTTAGGTTAGCGAACAGTTTGGGTGGATTGCATGTTCATCTCTTCTTTGTAACTGGAAAAAAAAAAGTGCACTATGGTTTATTTAAGTTTAGGATTAAAATTTTATAAGATGACATGATGACAGTTAACTTTCCTCAAGGTTTTGATTAAAGAATGAGTCCGAAGATGCAGATCGCTAGTGGAAAAAGAAGAGTACTTTTTCTACCAGATAAGCGACAAATTAAGCGCCATGTGTGAGGAATAATCTTTTTTTATTTTTTATTTTTTTTTGGTATCCTAGGAATAATCTAATTAATTTAGCTGTAGATCAATCAAATAAACAATAAGACGAAACTAATCATTTGGTTCTGCATCGGCAAATAATTACAATTGTCATACAATAGTTTCCCATATGTTTGGCTAATCTGAGCCTGTTTTTTACTGATTTATTTTTATGCATTTGGAAAAGAATAAAGGGGCTGTGGAGCTGTATTTTCCAAGGATATGTTCCAGTGAGTATATATATATATATATATATATATATATATATATATATATATATATATATATATATATGATTTTTTTAATCTTTTGTGAGCTATACATAGAATTTTTGCTGAGCTGAAATTAATATTTTGTAACTTACATACTTATTAATATACTAATCCAGCTACCAAATATTTTGTAAAGGTTAAACTTAACTAGCAATTTAATAAGTTGAATACTAGATGATGCTTATTAATTTATTCAGCGCTAGGCCTGATTAGATGCGTTACACAATTCAAATGCTTAAACCATTATAAATCCTAAACTATAAAAGGCTTATTCTACTGTTACATAATTCAAATTCAAATACAAAACTATCATTAATGTTACAGTCGTAATTATCTGCAGTTCCAAGCCATAATTTCTTCAATGAATATCTTTTAAAAATCCAGATTTACTTTTGAACTTACGCAGAGACAGCATCCTAAGCCTTAGCATGTTAGTAAAAAAGAATTATTTATTTATTTATATATTATAATTATTATTTAAAAAGGCCTTGGTTTTGGAGCGAACTGATTAGAATGGGAAATTATGTCTGTTGAGTGACAATGAAAACAAAGCCTATATGAGTTGCATCGAATAAGTGAAAGTTAAGACAAGTCACGCACTCAAGGCAGATTATTACGAGAATGGATTATCTCATGTGAAAAAATATCATGTTATTTGATTACAATCACTTATTAATGATGAGATAAGAGAGATAAAAATATATAATTTTTAAATGAGCAATCGTGATCAAATAATATGACTATGTAATCACTTTTTCACATAAGAAAATTCATTCTGAATTATTATTGATCATGATCATGTTCGAATTTAGAACATGAGGGACCACCGGTACCCAAATTAAAAGGCTAAAAGACCCAAACCAAGTAAAGCAAAAATTGACTGATGAATTGAGTGAAGTGATGAGATGGCTAGCTAATTAGCTATGATTATATATGTATGTACGAGGCACAACGTGTTCCATGAAATAAAAAATAAAACGATAAAACATTAGCAAATGGGTATGTGAATCGGTAAATGAATGTACCAAAAAAAGATGAAAGATATGAAGAAGACGAAGATGAAGATCCTCTTTCACAGTCACTGGTGTCCCCGCAACCATCATTACCAGTCCACATCACCCAGACATTCAACAAACTACGACAAGAATAATTAATATCTCATTGCTTGTTATTTGGGCCCCACCTCATTATACACATCCAAAAACATCTACATTCTCACCCCCCTTCTTAGACCAAATCTCTGTTTTTCTTCATGTCCCATAATAGTATATATATTTTTATTTTATTTTATTTTAATATAGGCTCAGTGGATGGTTATTTTAAATTAAAGACTAGAAAGAATAAGTAACGACGCAGATTGCACGAGTATTATTATGTTTGGGGGCTGAGAAAATCGCCTTGTACATATATGGGCGATGAATCGCGTGGGAACTTGCCTGGTCAGTCCAACGAGGGTGGGTCCCATTGATAGTTGCATCCACTGACCCTACTGGTGTACAGAGAGACAGCGACTTAGGTTGTGGTTTCTTTATGGTTCGTATGAAACCGTTGCACAACAGATTTTAGTTCAATGACTCGAATTTTCTCTTATTTAATGCCTTTCTCTGCGTGCAAGCCAATCTCATTCATAGATCATATTGTACAACAAAAACATCATTGTCCTCTCTCTCTCTCTCTTTGGGATTGCTTGCTTTATATATATATATAGACAAGACCCGTGGTTCTATTACCAACATCACTTCTTTGCATGATTCCCTACCCCTAAAGCCATCTCCATTCTCTATCTTAATTTACTCTTACCCTTTTCCTTTTCTTCTGTTTTTTCACCTTCAGTATACCGCTAGCTCCAAGCCTCCAAGTCCACACAGATACAGATAGATACACACCCACATACACAAAATCAAGCCTTTCGAGTTTAGAGGAAACCGAGGAGTGCTTAATCTGATTTTTTATGGATGGATCCTTCTAATGGACAACCCCAGGTAGGAATTAGGATGCATCATGCATGATTTGCTTGATTAAAATTTAAAGATCATATATATAATATATTCCTCTTGTTTTTTCCTCTTTGCTTACGTTTGAGAGGGTGGTTGATTTTGGTTTTTAATTCTTCCCCAAGAGCAATTCTGAACTATGAATTAGGAAAAGATCGATCTTTATAACAAAAAAAAAAGGTTTGATTTTTCATACTTCCTACAAATCCTTTGCAATGAGTAAAGGAAAGTTATGTCCTTGTTTTCTTATAAACTGGATATATATAGAGAAGTAGTTTCCAATTGATCTCTCTTGAAGTAGGGAATTATAATTATTTAGGGAAATTTAATTAACTTTCCTATCTTTATTTTTGTGAACCATTTAATGGTCTGTCAACAAAATAATAGAATTGGAAATTCACGTTATACTTTTTGGTAGTGATTTATGTTTTTTTTTTCGTTCTAATTGTATCAACATTAACTCTCCATTTCTGATTATATATATGTATATGTGTACGTGCGCACACATCACATGATACAGATGTTTGGCCTCAACCATATTTCATGGGCACTCATAGGATTTTATGTATTTTTTTTTTTTTGCAGCAAATGTCTAACCAGTCACTGGAGAACATGTTAGGTTGCTCAAAAGCACAACAAGAGAGGAAGCCAAGACCTCAGCCAGAACAAGCTCTGAACTGCCCAAGATGTGACTCCACCAACACAAAATTTTGTTACTACAACAATTATAGTCTTTCTCAGCCAAGATATTTCTGCAAGTCTTGCAGGAGATATTGGACCAAAGGAGGAACACTGAGGAATGTTCCAGTGGGTGGAGGATGCAGGAGGAACAAGAGGTCATCATCTTCATCTTCAAAGAAGGCTCAGGATCAGACATTCACACCCAATTCAAACCCACTCACTAGCCTTCCTCATTTGTCTTATGACTCCAGTGACTTCACCCTAGCATTATCTAGGTTCCAAAAACAATCATGTGGGCAATTGGGTTATGATGACCATGATCTTTCGATTTTGGGGAATCCCTCAAGCTCCTTTTGTGATATTCTTGGCAACACAGGCATGAACCCTTCGTCGACAAACCCTGGATTCTTGGATGGACTTAGAGCTGGGTTCCAAGGAACCCAGAATGATATTCAAAATATGTACTTTATGCATGGAAATGGGGACATGGGAGAGGTGGATAATGGAAATTCTTGTGGGGTTGGGGTTAGTGGAGATATGATGCTCCCTTATGATCAAGAAATGAGCAATGCAGCCATGAAACAAGAAGTTTATAGTGGCAGGGAACAAAGTGAAAGTAAGGTAATGGGGGGTTTCCCATGGCAGCTCAATGGAGACACAAACATGGCTGAATTTGATTCAGGAAGAGCAAGTTGGAATGGTTTCACATCTTCTTGGCACGGACTTCTTCATAGTCCCCTCATGTAGACCCTGGATTCTCCTAAAAGACACTGATTTCCTCTAATGTTTGACTAGAATATCTGTCTTAATTAAACTATCAATCCTCTTGAGTACTTTTGGTTAATAGGGTCTTGTTTGTGTTTTTATTTTTATTTTCTCCTTTATTTTGATCTCCTAAATAGTGAAATTTTTGTACTGTTATCCTTTTATTGATGAACAGACTAATGAAATTTAAGATTTGTTTGCCAACCAAGTGAATGAAATTGGACTGAAGTATATAAAGCATCATTTCCTTATTCGACAAACGGAAGAGAGAGAGAGAAGGAATGAAAGTGATGTTTCGTGGTTAATTTTGTGCAGCATGAAACACTGAGCTCTCTGAAGTCTGAACAGTTAGAATCACTATTTCTGGTGCTTTGGCTTTTGAATTTGTGGTGGTTTTTCGAGATATTCTGCTATAATTGCATGTTATTTACATCAGGTAGATTCTTAGAACGTGGAGAACTTACTATTTACTGAAATGCAGTATTAAATTAATCAACTTCTACTGATAAGATTTATTAAAAAGAATATCTCGTGTCCCTAAGAATTAGAAAATCCAGTGGCGCATGAGCGCTAACTTCGGGAAGGATTTAATCTTGGGTTTCGGCAGACAAAATCTAACGTAGGATTTGGGCGTGAGAAAACCGCCAGTAATCTCTGTTTCAAAATTATATGACTGTCAGAATGTGTCTCAGGAATAAATTACAATCACTACCATCGTACGTGGTTTGGATTCTTTTTTTCTTTTTACATTTGCCAAATTTATAATTTCAACAAAAAACAAAGTCATATGCAATTTAATAACATTACATGATTTTATTTTATTTTTTAAACTACTGATCACCAGTGTCTAAATTAGCTTTACTTATGTTTAAAAAGTGTATAACGAGTAACTGTTTTTATAATATTAAGCTAAATTAAACATTCAATTTATTTGGGAGTGGTTTAGGGTAAAAATACTTCTAGTATATATAAAAATTTCAAAACTAATATCATAACCTTAATTTTCTATTCAATTCATTTATGTTTCTTCTCTACTAATTCATGATCCACGAAGTTTATGTAAAGAAAAAAAACTCATGTGCACCTATGATTTTCCTTTTTTTCAAGACTAAGTTGGATTTTAGAGCTAAAAAAAAAGTTGAAGAGAGAAAAAATGATTAGTTTTGGTTCTTTTGTTCTTTGGTATGCAATAGTGGCAGGTGTACAGCATCCAAGTTGAAGAAATCGTTCGGTTCTAGTTCACATAATCAGTCTTTTGTCCTTGCAATTGCGGGTAGGGTGAAAGCTGAATGGGACGGAAGAGACGCGCCACGTGCCAAATAATGGTAGCTTACTTAACTTAGCACAATAGAGCTCACCAGGTGACCATGAGAGTTGATGTTTATTAATGTTAGGTCGTAGAAGATCATATTGCTATACCGTATGATATGTGCTCATAAATAACTTAGAGATAGGTATCTAGATTGGCTTATAGCCAACACTCCAATCACTGCGCACAAGCAATAAACTTACAGTCAAGACGTGAGTGTGTACACAGTGTTGGCAAGCAATAGTAAATAGGTGAAAAGTGTGTACCTGAGGTCTTCAACCTCTTATTTATAAGGATTACCTATTGGGCTTGTGTAGATTTCTCATTTGTAGTAAGATTTAACTTCCTTTTTATTGAGATAAGGGCTTTATCCTAAGTTGCCTTAATGTTTTGTATTGTTAGAATAATTGGACCATTATCCTTTAAGCTTTAATGGATTCTTGGGTAGGTAGTTAGGATATGGATAATATTCCATAACAATTAGTATCATCTTCTTTGAGAGAGATTTAAAACCTTAATCCTGATCCCATCCAAACCAAATTATTTTTCGTGAAAGATACCGGTGGACTATCCAGAAAGATACAGGCCAGAAGTGGATATTAATAATTGATGATAATCTAGAACCACAAGCCATCAACCATGATTTAAACTTAAAACTGACCATTTAATTTCGCTTAAAGCGCATCAAATTTGTGGTCAACCTCTTGGGTTTGGGCTTCAGATAAGAAAGGGGAGGATACGAGACGACAGCTAGTCCAAGTCTTCGATTAGTACTATATATCTATTGGAGTATTGTTTATCAGACATGCTGTTGATGCAAATCTCTCATATATACCAAATTAAGGTAGCTGATCATTCTAAAGATCGATTGAATTACACACAAAAGGAAATAGAAAAATAAAATAAAAGAGAAAAGTAGTACATTTGATTTATTTTGGTTCATCTCAATATAAGATTACGTTCAAATAAGTCCATTACTATATTCTTCTCATCACAAGATAACACACCATTTATTTTGATTCACCTTTGCATAACTTGTAATCATAGTTTTTTCAAGTTTCAAAAGAAAATGCTTGGCTTAATTTGTCCCTTCGAGTAATGTACACAATATTCCAGACAGATTTATTAATAACTATATCTCTTGAAAGGATGTTCAGATTCTAGCAAATTAAATAGCTGGTTAATTTTCTAGAAAAAACCAAGTGAAAGAACTACTACAACTTGCCCATAATAGCACTTCAGAGGATCCGGGAGTCGTGGTTCATCTTAATCAGACTCACATAACAGCCGAGCTCAGTGGGACCAGTTTCTAATCTGGAGATCCAATTGAAGCATGTATAACATTTATACACGATTACATTTATAAAATATTCAAAGGCAACAACTTGAAAGATTTCCACCGCACCAAAATAACATTTTAAAAAGAATGAATCATATATGATAAAGTGTTCTCTGTAATTAATCAAATTTAGATATTCATCAGAACCATTTTTATCTGCGCTGACCATGTGATCTTTCTCTATACAAATAATTTGGTGTATCTTTGAGTTGGAGCAGCTTTAACTTATGGGTCTTCACTGGAATAAGGTGGGAGGTGTACCTACAAAACACTACGCTCAGGTCAAATTTTGGTTCAAGCATGTTTATTATATAGAAGGATATGTGTATCTTTGGATTAATACATGTATTTATAGTGAAGAGATCACCAACTTCATGGAGTGATGAACAGCTTTGTGGAAAGATGCTTCCCAAATTAGTTGCAAGTTGTGAGGCGACAAATCTTTCCAATTGGTTATTGTGGATGACTGAGATAAGCTTGTTGCAGAAGTGTCTAGGAGATGAAGTATACTTGGAGGTGAAATAGGCTTGAGAAGTTTGTGGAAAATATAGCAGCCTTTTGACTTGGTCATTTCTTAGTAATGAAGGCTTTGCATGTGAGCCTTGTATTAATATGGGCCTTGTATTTATATTATTAATCCAGATTAAATATATATCCATCGATTTCTCAATTATTCAATTAATCAGGTACAAACATTATTGAATTTATCAAGACTATTTTCTTCATTCAAAGAATTCGAAAATATCTCTAAGTAAGATAAACATGTTGAGGAATCCAAGTGTGAATGATTGAGTGAAAAAAGTCCCACATTAGTTAAGAATGGACTAAGTGAGCACCATATAAGTGGAAGGACCCATGCACCTAATGCCTTAAGGTTTTGGGTTTGATTGTGGTGTTCCGAGCCCACTTAATGTTGCTGCTCACTTGGCCCATGGTTGGCGGTCTCTCCCCGCCATGAGCTCCCCGTGCACGGTCCAACAATTGGTATAAGAGCTAATGGTGGATTGGTCTGTGGTGATCCGAGTATGTCTTGATGGATAGCCAAGCCTTGATGAGGAACCCCATGAATACTCGAAGAAAGAATGTGGGCCTTGGATTCACACTTGAGGTGGAGATGTTGAGGAATCCAAGTGTGAATGATTGAGTGAAAAAAGTCTCACATTGGTTAAGAATAGACTAAGTGAGCACCATATAAGTGGAAGGACTCATGCACCTAATGCCTTAAGGTTTTGGGTTTGATTGTGGTGTTTCGAGCTCACTTAATATTGCTGCTCATTTGGCCCATGGTTGGCGGTCTCTCCCCGCCATGAGCTCTCCGTGCACAGCCCAACAAAACAAACTCCTTTGCCATTTGATTTGATCATGTGGTTATTATGCTATTTACGATTAAGCAACGAAAGGGGTATATATTGGATAACAACAAAATAATGACAAAATCATAATCATCACTTTTCTTCCGACTATTATTGCTTCACCTAAAATATAAAATGCTTATAAATAGGTCTTCAATCATCATAAAGGAAATCTTTTCAATGTTATCAAGAGACTGCAATCAATAACTGTAAAGAAACAGTAATTTGGAGCTGTTTATTTTTTAGAATAGTAATAAAATAAGTGTTTTTTATGTTCAATTTTTTTGTTTTGGAAGTTATAAATCAAAGAGAATAATATTTGTCATTTTAAAGGACATAACTTTGTGTCATGTTAGATGAAACGTGATTTTAATATTTTTTACATTTTTCTCCTCTATTTTCTCTCTCTTCCTAATTTTATGAAAGAAAAAGAAGGTAAGAAATTATCAAATATGTACTAAAACTACGCCGATTCATTTAAATGACATAAAATTACATATTTTAAAATGACAAATATTGTTTTCAAAATAAAAAAATAAAATAGGAATAACTACAATATGTTCTCAATTTAATTTTAAAAATTAAAAAATAGATATAATTTTTAAAATTACTTTTACAAAAAAAACATTGTCAAACAGATTTTATTTATTTTTTTATTCTAAAAATTAAAAAACTGTTTTTGGTTATAGATTTCGAACAGACCGTTGCTTTGTAACTCGCGAAGTCATTCGTTTAACCATTTGAAAATCTTCCATCTAGGTTTTTACTTTTTAGTTTGGAAATTTTGTTTGTCCTTTTAAATGATATAACTTGTGTTATTTCACTCTCAGAAAGAGATGAGACTCACACTTTTATATTTTTTTATCTATTCTCTCTCCTCCTTTATCTATCTCTTTCTCTCATTTGAAAGAACACAACTTTACATTCTTTAAAATTATACACACTTTTCCCTTTTAGTTTTTACCCTTTGTGAAAGGCTTTTTCATTTTTGACCGAAACCTGACAGAATTCAGTTTCGTAAGTTCCTAATACTTGCTATGTATATGTTTAAATTACAGTGCTACGTTAGGAATATGTTAGGATTTATCGTATATTAGAGACGTAGAAAATAATGATAGTGACTTAGGAATTTTGTACTATGCTATGAATGTTGTAATGACTTAGTATGATTTTTTGTTACGTAACTATTATTATTATAATTTAATTGTGCATTGGGCTTTAGCGTATATTAGTGATTTAGAAAACAGTGATAGTGACTACGTAATTTGTGTACCATTTATGAATGTGTAGTGTTTTAAAAACTTGTTAGTGACATAGGTGTTATTATTATTATGTAATTGTGAAATTATTAGTGACTTAGGGTTTAGTATTATGTCATTGCGATTTAATTAGTGTCTGAAGTTTAATTATTATTTCATTACAAATAAATTAGTGTACTACGTATTAATATTATGTCATTAATTACGATTGTAGTAAATACGTAGGGTTCATGCTTAATAATTTTGATAATACATTAGGGCATTGGTTAATTAATTTGTACATAAAATTAGATGTTACATGTGATTAATATCAATGTTGTTTTATTTTATATAGTTTTTTTTATCATGGGTGATTAATCATCATCTGCTGGTTCGACATCCGATCCAGAGCCTACCGATCCTACTATGTACATTATACCTGGACCGTATAGATGGGAGGTCCAGCGGAAAAGGACGCAGAGTGGCCATATTTCACAGCGAGTGTGAAATACGGAACATGTGTGTAAATTGAAGACCAGGCGTGGCAAACCACAGGGGAGGCCACCTACCAACGCTATTCTAGAGGTTGTCGTCGACTACCTCACACAGGCTGAATTTATAAATGTTGCACGCATGCGACATATCCAGGTATGCAATTTTCGACGTTTCATTTGATGTGATTATTCAAGACATTGACTCAACATGTGATAATTGTTTAATTCTTTTTCAGATTGATGCCCCATTCGACGTTTCATTTGATGTGATTATTCAAGACATTGACTCAACATGTGATAATTGTTTAATTTTTTTTCAGATTGATGCCCCATTGATTAGTGCTCTGGTCGAGAGGTGGAGACCAGAGACACATACGTTCAGATTGATGCCCCATTGATTAATGGAACATCCTCTGATCCGGTAAATTCCACATACAACTCGAGAAAATATTTCCTTGACTGGTTGAAAAATTCTCCCATTATCATCTCCACGTCTTCATCATCAATTACTTGCAAACTAATGTAATGTTCAGATTGCCATAACCTTGTGGTGATCTGAGTTATACATTGGTTACCTTGAAGGCTTAACTTCTGACAAATTCTCTGATGCAGTTCGTCAATGGTTGCGTTGCGTTCGTTTGATACGTGTCGGCTTTTTTTCACCTTCAAACATGACACATCGTCGACCTTCTATCTTCCGACCATTGTAATATAACACAACACGAACAAAATAAGAATGTGAAGTCATTTTTAAATGGAATAAGAAATAAAATAAAAATACTAAATTAAAAATAACAATTGTGTATGTCAAGTGTAAGAATGATGCTAGAGAAGAGATGTGAAGAATGCGAGTGGTTGGGAATTTTATAGAGTTTTTTGGCCCATTCACGTCCAAGGGGAACGTCAGGGACACATGTGTCACGTCCAAAATGTGACGCCCCATTTAGGCGTCACCCATGTGAGTGTCACACCCATGTGACGCCCATTTTGGACGTGACATTGTGCAGCAGATCCATAATTTTTTCAAAAACGGTTATAAATGCGTAATTATTTTATTAAAAAACATTAAATTAATTTTTTTGCCTATTGTATATAAATGGCCGTTAAACCGAACTCTTTTACTTCTATTTTAAAATTAAGGTCTTATTATTTCTATTTTCTAAGCACACATTCAATTATATATAATAATCAGAATTCAGAATCATCAATTCTACATCAAACGTGCATAGTTTAGAGGGAATAAAAACCACAGCTGGATTGAATGTCATACATGTAAACCTGGTAATCGGAGTAGTAGCATTGAGACACAAATGATCAAATCCGTGTTGGTGCCACCAGGTTAGTAAGAAAACTTTTCTATAAGGGAAGGATAGATTATGGAGAAGAGCTTAATTCATTCAACAAATAAATTCCAACATTCCAAGCAATGTTCACAAAACAGTTTCAGATCTAGGCAGGATTTACAGAACAAAAAGGGGAATAGAGGTAAGACAAAATTGCATAACATAAAACATTATAGTAACACAATATAAATGGAATACATATCCAAAGCGAGTCATGAAATCAGACAGTGACTACTTTTGAGGTTTCTTCCATAAGACCCCAATCTTCTTCAGCATGTTGCCATTTTTCTTTCTCTGGAAATCATCATCAATGTCTTCAGAAAAAGTTGAGTACTTATTCGTTAGAGGATTGTAGTTGGTATCCAAAGACAATGATCTCTCAGTGAGCTTCCCATTGTTCCCTGCTGAAAGCATAGCAGCAGCTGCCTCTGCAGCCTTCCTCCATTGGTTACACTGCACCTTAAGTCTTTTCAGTTCTGCTTCTATTTCTGAGTTTGTTGCTTGTGCTACTTCCAGTTGTTCAGCTACCCTTGCTGCCTTCAGGTTGCTCCTATCTACTTCCTCCATCACAATGCCAAGTCTCATTACAGCTTCGCGTTCTGCAGCCTTAGCTACCTCTAGTTCTGCTGCAAATTCCTCCCTCACTTTAACACCTTCTGCAAACCTCTTATTGATTTCCAACTTCAGCATTTCATTCTCTTCTGATATGCTTTGCAATGTTGTTTCCTTGTCCATCAGATCACCCTTCAACTCAGCCACACATTCATCTAATCTTTTAAGTTCCTTTTTAAGTCCATGTTCTCTTTGGGATGACATGCTCTCTTTAAGCTTCAAATTCAACTTCTCATTCTCCTCCACAATACCTTGAAACTCGGTTTCCTTATCCATTAGGTTTGCCTTCAACTCTTCAATATCAGCTTTCTTTCTTTTCAATTCAGTCTCTAGCTCAGATTCCCTCTGACTTGATTCTGATTTTATCCGGTTGATCAATTCATAGGCATTCCTGATATTCACCGAGCTCCGAATCTGTTCTTCCTGGTATTTAGCCTCAGCAGCCTCTATGGAAGACCTCAGTCGTCCTATCTCGAACCTCAAAGAATAAGTTTCTGCTTCAATGTGAATAGGGTCTTCTCCCTTTTCCAATGTTTCACCTTCCTTCTTGAAGTTACCATCATCTGCAAGATTTCCAGAATGGCTGCATTTATTACTGATGAGGCCTAACTCAAGTTTGCTTAACATTGCCTCTAGTGAGTTCACCCGTGCTCTAGACTGATCTAACTCTAGTGCAGCATTGTTGTAGCCATGCACAGATTTTGCAGCATCAGCCCTTATGAACTCTACAGTTCTTTTTGCAGCCTCAAGTTGCCGCAAGGTCTCATTGACCAAAGTTTGGGCCTGAGCTGACTCTTTGCAATCCCCGAGTTGGTTTTTCATGTTCTCCACAAGAGAAAGAGATTCAACTATGTTATGCTCCAAGTTTAGTAGCTCCACTTCTGATGATTCTGCAAGTTGGGTATGCGCATTCCCACAATTAGCTACCAATTCAAGTTGAACCTTAAGCTGCTGAATTTCATCAACGGCAGAGTCCAGCGCGGCAGAGTTGGCTGAGAGTTGCTTTTGGGTTGCCTTGTGCTTGGATTGCCATGCCCTATCATGCTCTTCTGCAATTTTTTGGAGCTCAATAACACGAGCTTCTTCAGCAGCAGAGAGCTTCAGAAGTTGCTGCTGAGATTCTTCATGTTTAAGAGATAAGACAAACAATCGCTCCTTGGACTCCTCAGCATCTTGCTGAGCTTGCTTCTTGCATGATTCAGACAAACTGAGTTGGTCCCTCAACACCTTCAAGTCCTCTTTTAGTTGAGAAATCTGAGATTCTAATTCAGATATTCTGCTAGGGCGCTTCCTCTAAAGCAACAGAAAAATTATAATGGTTAAGAATTCTGGACAAAATTTCAAGGACTGGACAATTGTTATGAGGAATTGTAGAAAACAATAAGCAATACTGGTGCTTCCAAGGCTTACATAAAAAGCCAAGTACAATAAAACAATCAAATGAGAAAAGAAGAAGCAAACAATAGAGGTTCAGAACCATATAAAAATCAGCTTTCACATGTCTTGCATACACAATGCCATCACACAGTCCAAATATAGAACCAACGAGAAGTTATTATGTGACAGTCGAGTAGCTTATTCTACCCACTCTCTTTATTGATTCGTATACACCAATTTTCAAAAACAGAATCCTTTAAAAAGGACTCTTCAATATCTATCTAACTGCTAGCTTGCATTTGTCCCAGAGTTTAAGTGCTCAACCTATTAGATGCTACATAATGACCTTTTCATGAAGCCAGATCAGTGAATTAAACAGAAGAGTAAAGTCCATTCCGGGTCCCTAACAAAAAAACACGTCCCCACTTTCGTCCCTTACATGGACAGCATTTTCAAAGAGCTGAAATTGTAAAGGGGACCAAAAGGGTCTTTACTCTAAACAAAAATAACAACAAACAATATAAAGTGAAATTAAAGCCTACTCCAACCCTTCAACTAATTAGTCAATAGCACTGTTCAAAAGGTATGTCTTGAAAGAAAATCATAATAACATCCTACACTCTAGACAAAACTCAAAATCAACTTTAGTATGCACAAAGCTTTGATTTTTTAAGGAAAAAGAAAAAAAATGATATAATTTTTTTGTGTGCGTGTGCTTTTTACCTCAAAAAATCACTTTTTAGGGCCAGTTGGATGAGCTTTTTTTTATCTTCAAAAGCTACTTTTTTTCAAGAAAAAAAAAAAAAAGAACTTCTCGTTTTTAGTTCGTTTGGATGACTGTTTTTATAAAAAGCAAAAGTCACAAAAAAAAGCCAAAAACCTACTTTTTCCAGAAGCTAAAAATTTTAACTTCTAAGAAAAGCAAAAGTCAAAAGCCAAATATTTTTTTCGAAAACTAAATATTTTTATAAAAATATAAATAGCTTTAACTTTTATAAAAAGCACTTCTACTTCTAAAATAAGGAAGAGATAAAAATTACTTTTTTGAGAAGCCCAAACAAACGGGCTCTTAATGACACTGATCCAAGTTGTTCCAACTCTTGCAGTTACATTCCAGTAAAAAAAAAAAAAATTACCTCAGGAGCCGGGCTTCTGGGTGATCTGCGCTCAGTGACTTTGGGGCTTCTATCCTTTGATGTTTTATTAGTTTGGTTTAACGAAGACACAGAGCATGTGTCTAATGCAGCAGGCCTTAATTGGCGTGCAGAACGAGGTGACACCTTCTGAGGCACTTCAGAGGAGCTAGTTCTGAAATCAGAATATGTAAGTGTTATGAATTATATGATGATCATGTAAACAAAAGAAACAAACCATTTGGAAAATGGTAACCCATATCTCTCAATTCTAGCAATGAAGTCCAGCAATAAACACTTTGCCATATAAAGCAAAAGCAATGTCTTTATATCACTCGGAAATCTGAACTTGCTAACTCATTAAAGAGATTCCTTCCTTCATATGGTAGAGCATAGAGTGGATAATCCGAACCATTACACAAATTTAAACAGACAAAATGGAGATTTAAAACCGAAAATACATGCACTATTGCTTGAATGAGTAATTGACCACAATAAGTAAGTGAGTAATACTTGTGCAAGTTACAATGAAGTATAGTCAGATGTAACGCAAACGTAATTGACCACATAAATTCAATTTTGAAATTAAAACTTTTCCCAAGCGCAGGTTATAAACTCTATATTATGATTATTGATTGACATGATGATATGATAAATAGTGAAGTTTCAAGTTCAAAATTCTAGGAATTGACCGTGAATGTTATTGTTTCTTGATTTATTATTATATTTTTTCTCCATCCAAAAAAATATATTAATTGCTCTTTAACGTAACATTTACAGTCATTTTAAAAAAATACTGATATTGTTCAGCATAATGAATTTCAATTGAACAACCAATCTTTTGTTCACATTATGATGATAATTATAATAATTGGGAAAACTGCCCCGGGACCCAATCTCTCCCATTCCGCAGTTAAAGCCACCTATATGAAACGTACTTGAACCAAAAAAGATTAGTTTTTTTAATAATAATAAAAAAAAGATTAGGCTTAGCCATAAATAAGCTAATCACCTTTCTTTTTTTCTTTTTTTTGTAATGTAACACAAATGAACTTAAACTTGTTTAGGATAGAGATAAATAATATTACATAACAAACGGGAAATTTTTTTTAAAAGGCCAGCAAAATTAAAGCCAGAAACTTGGAATTAAATGAAATTAAAAAAAAAAAAAAAAACAACTCAAGCATAAAAATTTAAGATTCTTACTATTCAGAATGTTTTCTCCACCATAGCTAATAGCTAGATAGGAAAATGGCATGAACTCAGTGGGAAACTTTGTACAAGTAGGGAGAGTTACACAGAAACAAAGTTGAATCGAAAAGGAAAAATTGTGAATAGTTGATAAACATTTGATTGCGCTATTGCTAATTATGAGAAAACTTTAACTAGACCCACTAACGTTGAACAAAGTTTCATAGCTTATGCACTAAAGCCTTATATGCTTGAGCACAGTCTGTTCCAGATATAATAGTTGACATGTGAATTTGAAATATGAGAAATACCACATTTCTTAAGGTAAAAAATCCCGCTGATTTAGCCTTTTTAGATTTTAAACGACCAAATATCATTTTGAACTAGGAAAGAACAGAAGCAACGTTCAAAACTAAGGGGAAAAAAAAAATTCAATGGCCAAGCATTTCAAGATTACCTTGTCTTTGGGGTCTGCATGGTTTTAACACTTTAACTGCTTTGTATCCACCAAAGTAAAACGGGTTAATAATTACGACCTCACTACTTGAATGCTCCCTGACCCACAAAGGACAATAACAGTTCAGAAAAATATCATTAATGGAATCCAATGCGAAGGTCACTGAAGTTAGGGGAAAAAATAAAATAAATGGGTTCACGCAGAATGTATGCACTCCTATGAAGCCATAAATGCAGAAGATTTGCTTACAGTAATTTTCACTTCTCATTTCCAAAAGTTTTTCATTTATTCCTCCCTTTTCAACATACTTCAAGAATACATAACTAAAATTGAAGATATCACAAAAAATAATATATAAACAGGGCAGAGATATAGTAACCAATGCAAAAAGATAGAAAAATAAATTCCAAGCAGATTGGTATAATATGTCAACTACACATGAGAAATCCTTTTGAGTACTCAAAATATTTTTGAAGAATCAATTTAGTCTTTGAAAAATTACTACATCAATCTAGATATGAAATCTTAAAAAAAAATTGGCATCAAAATAACTCCCAAAAAACTAATGTTACATGTGAAAATTGATGTCACGATGACAAAATAAATAAATAATGTTTACTGTAAAATTATATTTTCACCAACTGATGATATGACAAGGTCTTTCTGACAAACAATACCCCAAGTTGTATTCAAGAGGGACGTACAACACAAGAACAGAAAAAGTATGAAATTACATATGCGTCCAATTCTCCATCTCAAACGATGTAGTTACCAATTTAACCATATGCTCTGGTCAAATCCTATATATGTTCAATGGGCCTTTTTGTAATCACAAAATGAGAATTTCTTAACCTCAGATTTTGCCGGGAAAGAAGGGCATGCCCCCAGTGAGTTATTATTATCTACTCAAACATTCTAGAGCATTTAGAACAAAGGAAAAACCCCAAAATAGAAAAGGAAAAACCCTCGAAAGTCACTTCACATAAGGATTTTCATTTAGAACAAAGGAATCAGATCCAGAGCATCAGCAACACCATTAAAATCTTCAATAAAAAGTATTCATTAAAATAATCTTTTGACTTGAGATTAAAAATGAGAGCGAATGAACCACTATTTAGAGAAATATTCATGAAAACATGAATAAAAAAATAGCACCTCATGGAATAGACCTTTTTTAATATATACTCTATTTGCTTTTGAAAAAGTATAAAACATGAAAGCTACAAAACCTTGCAGAGTTCCTGAACTTCAAAACAGAGAACCGCATATATGTCTGTTTTTACCATAACTTTTCAATATAAATTAATTATCTAGCAGTTTAAAGTGAATAAAAGTAGTCCAAAAGAGAAACGCCGAAAGAGCTTGAAAAGAGTTCAATAAACTTTTATTTTCCCGTAAATTAAAAATAAGAAGAAAAAAAAAAAACTCATTTTATCAAGAAAAATAATTCTAACAAGAAAATGATGAGTAGGAAAGAACGAAATTCAAGCCTCTAACTAAGTTAAACAGAGCCTAATGAACCACATTTAAGAGCTGGGAAACAAGTAAATTAAATAGTAACACAATGTTCTAGCACTTATCACCTCTCCCAATTTCCATTATTTTCCATGTAACCAAACGATAATGCGAAGCAATAAAGGACATTGTATGAGTCTTACCCGGTTTTCCTTACCAGGTCGAGTAAATGAGGTTGTAAACACAAGTCAAAAGTTGGATATTTGCTTGAGTTTTATCGTTGTTCAGCTTTCTACGATGTGGTACTTGGTCTTTTGTCCTCTCCTCTATGACTCTCTGAATATCTGCTTTTTGTTTCTTAAGGACAAACACTGGTATGCAAGTGTAGAGAAACAAGGAAACGAGGAAGCTGCGTATCAGAGAGGGAGCGTGGCAAATAGAGTCCTAGAAAATTGTCGTTTCACAACGATTAAATTGGTTTGAAGTAGGACCTTGCGTCCGCACGTCTTAGATATGCATGTCGCATACCCAACGAAAGAAAAGAAAAGATGTGACACGATGGGCTCTTTAATTCTTGGGCTACCCGTATATAGCTTGTTGACGTGGGAACTAGTATTGACCAAGGAATAATCGTTTGACCCAAAAAGTAAAAAATAAAAATGGAGATGTACATAAAAACATTTATGCTGTAGGAATTAGTGAAATTATTTGCATCAACTATGGCACATTCAAAAGGTGCACTATAGTGAACTTCACTCCTAGATACATTGTCGTATGTTTCGGATCAGTTTTGGCAACGCTAAATAGATGCTAGTAAATTAAATGCTCAGAAGTGAAGTTTCACTATGATAAAGAGAACAAACATAGTATGTAGGAATGTTTTGGATAGTGTTGTAAACTCGGGGCAAAATAGATGCAAACCTGTCCATATTTTGCATACTACAAACTAAATGAAATTTGCTATCCCTTTGAAATAAACACCAGAAAAAGAGATATGCAACTTCAGGCTATTTGATCGTTGCATAAAGGAATTAAAACACCTATGTAAACACACAGATCATTGACCTGCAATCTCGATTGACATTTAATGCAAGTTCTAGCCCAGGAACATTTCATTAGAAAACTCCACGAGTATTTGTTGAGATATATAATCTCACATTGGTTGTATGTGCAACTAATGTGGAGTTTATAAGGCCTTGGACACTCTCATCCTTTGAGCTAGCTTTTGGGGTGGTGTATCCCAAGGTTCTTAACATGGTATCAAAGCCTCACCGCCCCCCACTTTCTCTTGTGGCGTTTCTTAGCACAGGTAGGTTGGGCCTGTTGCATTGTCCACTCTTCAAGCTCAATGGACTCTTGTGTGAGGGGGCGTGTTGAGATATATAGTCTCACATTGGTTGTATGTGCAACTAATGTGGAGTTTAGCCTTGGACACTCCCACCCTTTGAGCTAGCTTTTGGGGTGGTGTATCACAAGGTTCTTAACAGTATTGACAACAACATTATTAGAGATATATAAAATTATTGATGTAACTTTACTCAATAGCTTAAACTTTAGGGTTAAATTAATTCTTTTATATGATATCAGAGCCTCAGTGTCACGTGTTCGAACATCACCTCCCTCCACTTTCTCTCGTGAAATTTCTTAGCACAAGTAAGTGGGCCTATGCATTGTCCATCCTTTAAGCCCAATGGGCTATCGTGTGTGAGAGCGTGATAGAGATATATAAAATCATTAATATAATCATGTAATCTCTCCCAACAACTTAAACTTTTGGTTTGAATTGGTTCTTTACAAACAACTTCTGTTAATCGAAACCATCCAAATTCTGTATCTTATCAATACTTTAAATAGAATCGTATCCTAACAATTAAGCTAGTAAAATCTATTGGATGGACTTCCACACCAATGATTGTTGTTTAACGGAAAGTCACAATAATGAGTTCAAACTTCAAACATCAAATCAAGATGTAGAGGAAGATCTGCATCCTTAGCGTTATGTTCCATGATAGCTAAGTTGGGATACTAGTGTATTCATTAAATCAACTCTTATGAGAAGGAATTGAACCCCTTCCCAAGAAGAAAATTTTAAGCGATCCCGCCCCACCTAGCGTTGAGTGGTCCAGCCATTCAAAATTTTACATGTAGATTTAATAATCCACATCATTATAATAGCTTGCATTTTAATTTTTTTATTCATGAATATTATTTTATTTCATAATCCCTTCTCCTTCCTCCCTTCTCTTCTCTGAGTCCTCCCTCCCCACATCCAAGCCAACTTGAATCCCACCAGAAGTGATTATGTTTGTCGCAACCACATCAGACACCCCAACCGCGTTAGACCACCGTCTCACCTCTTCCTGAACGTCCCAACCACGTCACACACCTTCTATAGCACGACGCAACAGCGTCGAACCGCCATCGCACCTCTTACTGCACACCCTAACCGCATCGCACACCTCAAATCGATGCACCACTGCATAGTCGTTTTCCTAATTTTTAATAAAGTTTTCAAATTTTTATTTTGGGTTCACTAGATCTGGTGTTTCTCTTAATTCTTTTGCAGCTGTTGTTGGTTAGTTTGCTAATTATGTTTGATCGTTGTTGTTGAAGTTAATCAAAGCCCTAAAGATGATAGCAGGTTGAGGTCAATTACAAATCTAAATTCTTGATCATGCATCTACTGACTGTGCCTTATGCCCTTTTGATAGGAATTTCATTATAATTATCTTCATGAAGTGATGTAATGGTATACTTTGGGTGGTAGGACACGAGATCCCCTGTTGCAGTCTCTGATTTCTCATTCAATCCCTTATCTAGTTGCTAGTGGATGACAAAAAAAAATTTCATAATAAGATGACACTAGGACTTTAGTAGTGTGTTTAAGTTTCCTCCATTTTATGAAAGCATCTTTTACACTTTGATTCTTGTAGCTAATTACTTGATCTGTTCACATTTTATATCCTTGTAAAAAGTGATTTGTTAGTGTTAATATACTATTAAATTATACTTGATGGGCAGGTTCAGGCCAATTATGTTTGATTGTTGTTGGTGAAGTTAATCTGACAATCTTGTGTTGTAATATGGTTGTGCTAATTTTTACAGTTGCTAGATTTCACTAATTGCTCAACACTGGGAGTAATTCCTAGCAACCTGATATGCAATTGTTAAGCTTAGAAGAGCTCTTTAAGGGGAAATGTGATATTCAATGGGAGATCAAGGGAAAGGAAAGCCAAAGCAATAATTCAAGTCTAAGTGAGTTAAGGCATTTGCAGCAGATGACAACTTTGAATATGCAGATAAAAGATACTTCAATTTTTCCTAGAGACTTGCTTTCCTTTGCAAAATTATAAGGCTACAAGAATGAGGGGGTCATTCTACAATGCAGAAAAGATTTACATATAAGTTCGAGGAAGTTTGTAAATGTTGACCAGCCTACCACTAGCTATTGGAGCATAATTTGTATATATTTTTGTCTTGTTAGGTGTAGTATTTGGAGATTGATGTAAAAACAGGAAGTTTTTCTTCCAAAAACATAATGTACCATTGTAATTGATTCAAAATCTTGTAACATTGTCCAATATATGTCATTTGACAAATTGTTGAATAAATGGATTTATATTACATATATAACATTTACAAATTTCATGACAGCAACCATAATAAAATTCTTAAGCAATAGAACTCCAGTCATCATTTGTATATATCAGTTATATGCATGAATTGACAAAGACACTATATTTTTACTATCAAATAATAACTAATGTGATTAAAAATATCGTGTTAATTAATAAAATCTTAAAGGTTAGTAAAATGCCAACAATTAGATAAGATTCTATTTTTTTTTTGTTTTAGGTTATTTCATACTAGAAAGAACAAACTACTAATCTGATAAGAAGAAGGCAATTGGAGTCGCTGAATATAAAGAAAAAATAAGAAATAAAAGATTCAGTCTTCCTAGCTCTGCAGCTCGCTTGAGCGAGAAAGTGAGCAAGGAGTTCAATTGAGCTCGCTCTGTTGCTCGCTCCAGCGAGCACAGCAACGAGAAGAGTAAAATTTCTCGCTGAGTAGCTCGCTTAAGCGAGCTAGCCCAAAAATAAAGGCCCAGTTTAAGTCTTTAAATAGAACGCGACACAGCCCTTGAAAATTAATTCGGAAGACGAGGCAGATGAGCACATTCAGAAGGTAGAGGAGCGGAGGAACGGTCAAAGCTTCACCGTGGAGACCGGGTTTTATTTTCTTTTTATGATTTTAGTTTATTTTCATATATTGTTCTTGTTTTCTTGAACATGTTAGGCTAGTTTTCTTTATGTAGTTAGGGCGAGACGGAACCAATGAGTTCTTAAACACTGTTTTGCCTTTCTTATGATTTATATTCTTGATTTAAAGTTATGCGATTAATCTATTTTAAATTCCTAGTCTCGTTTATGATCTGGCCAATCTTGAATGGGCATTAGAATCTTGCATGACAATAGGGATGTTGATGTTTTGATTCTGATTGATTAATTGCTAGAATTTGTATGATCTAGGGATAGACTTATAAATTCTATAACTGTATAGTTCTTACGTTAATGCTTGCTTTATGAAAAGTACTAAGGGATTAGGCTTTTGAGTGAAGTAAAGGATCAGATTACCAAGGGATTGAAATCTAATCAAATATAGAAAGAACTGTTAATAACTTGATTTGAATGTTAATTATAAGAATAGGTAAACTCGTCAGGAAAATATTAGGGAAGTTAAGTCCTAGCTACGTCTTTTATTAAAACTTAAAACCAATTTTTTAGCATTATTAATTCTGAATTTAATTTCTTAAATATTGAAAACTAATAATAAGTTTAGAAATTCTGTTTTAATTAAATTGAAATATTCTTAAGGAAACTTTTCACGATCGATCCAACTTTAATTAAATAGATAAATTAGTGTTTGGTCATCAGTCCTCGTGGGATCGACAACTTTATTTTATCACTTTATTACTTGTACGACCAGTGCACTTCCCGAAGTCGCAACAACAACATACACAAGTCCATAAATCATGTCTCTGTTCAGTTTAGCACGACAGCTTCCATGATAGCTTGCAAGACCTCCTACTATTCAAAAAAACTTGCATAGCAGCTTCCATGATAGCTTGCAAGATCTCTTATCATTCAAAAAAACTTTCATGACAACTTCCATGGTAGCTTGCAAGACCTTTGAAATATTGCATGTCAGCCTCTATGGTAGCCTGCAGGACTTCTTATCATTAAAAAGAAAACTTGTTTGACAGCTTATACCATATTACATCATTCGTAGTCATTTTGTTGAGTAGAAAAAAAGTCATCCTTGTTATGAG